AAATAGAGCAAACTTCATTAGCAATAAAATAACTCCTTAAAACCTAGAACTGTATTCAAACATCCTTCGTTAAAAAAATCTACCTGTCGATGCCCTTCTGCCGCATCTAAACTCTGCTCCACCTCATTATTCTCGGAAATATTCTGAGATTTCGTCTCATTGTTATGATTCTCAGAAGTATTTTGAGATTCCACCAACATTTCTTCGTCGAAATTTTTTTCCATCGAACCAGCTCCAGCGAACATGAGCGAAAAAATGAGAATATACCAGATACCAATACCCTAAAGCAGACAAAATGTCACTTTCTTCTGTTGGCGGGAATCGAAAATGACAAAAAAGCGCTTTTTTTTGTTTTGGGCGGGATCGGGTCGGGTCGGAATACATGAAAAAACTTATTTTTAAGCTGTAAAGCCACGTGGAATCGCATTCCACGTGGCAAATTTTTATTCGGTACCGCATGTAAGGCTTCATGCGGTGCACGTACCGAATAAAAATTCCTAAAAATGAGGGGGGCTGACTTGTAATTTTGTAATAACTGTAACATATTTCTATAAATAAGGCGTCCATGTCATGAATTAAAGATATGTCATGAATTAAAGGTAGACTATCTTTTAATGCTCCTTTACTCACTCTGTCTCTCTCTCTTATAGAACACTACATACTTTGAGCTTTTTTCTGCATATTTTTGGATTCAACATTAGTATTTATTAAAAAGGAAATAAATTATTATTTGGACTATTTATGGTTGTCATGATAAAATAGGAAGTATTTTGGAAAAAAAATTAGGTTAAAATTGTTTTACAAAATGGTAAGAATTGAATGATATGCATAAAATTATACATATATTTTATTGGTTCCTTTTGACCGCAGGCGTCACAAGATAGCTATTTAAATTTACTTAAAATATTTATGTAATTGGATTCTAACATCTGTATCGTTGCAAAATTTTAATAACACGCTCGTTAAATTTACATCTTCTCTCATAAAAAATTAATATAAAAACACATTTGATTTTATGAAGTTCACTCAAAACTGACAAGTTTGGACTAAATTTACATCTTTTTCTTTTGTTGCTAAGTAGTTCTCCATTGGAATACCTTTGTCCTCCTATGTTTAGAGGAACACAATACTTAATTTCTTCAACCAATTCCTGATCATATGTTGGGTTAATTATGATCACTTGGCTTTTAGTTGTAGATTTTCCTAGCTTTAATTCTTTGTCGACACTGAATAACTTTAGCATGCCAACCTTTTCCTCGTGGTTGAATTAAAGCTTCATCTCGCTTTTTCCTGTTAGCCATCGATAAATTACTATTAAACAAATAACAGTGCTTCTTTGCAAGCCTTAATTGTTTTCCGATATAACCCGCAGCTGTCTCCGGACAAGGATTCCTGGCCCGTGATCTAACCTTCCAAAACACCGCCGGTCCGACGAAAGGCCAAGCCGTTGCCCTGCGCATCAACGCCGACTTCTCCGCCGTTTATCTCTGCACCATCGACGGCTACCAAGACACCCTCTACGTCCACTCCTTCCGCCAATTCTACCGCGAAACCCACGTCTTCGGCACCGTCGCCTTCATCTTCGGCAAC